GCTCAGGTCATGATCCCGGGGTCCTGGGATGGAGCCTCGCGTCGGGCTCCCTGCTCAGTGGGGAGTCTGCTTCTCCCTCCCCCTTTGCCCCTCCCCAACCCCCGCTTGTGCACATGCTCTCTCTCTCAAATAATAAAATCTTAAAACATATATATATAAAACCACTGAAGTATGAATGGAGATTGGTGAGTGTGAGACCAGTTAAGATGATGCTTGTTATCTTGACGGGAACATTTGGGTCATCAGTAGCACCTCCCCAGTGTCCCTGGGGAAGCTGGACCTGGGGCCCCAGGTGCTGCTTGGGTGTGAATGGAGAGGGGCCGGCCTTCCGCCTGTGATTGATTCATCAACTCCCCTGCCCCCCCCCATCCGTTCCTGGCCCATCTCAGGGCTCAGTCTGTTAAGAGCTCCCCAGTGGCCAGCCAGCTCACAGCTGAGTTGTTATCTTCCTGCACACACTTATCTGGGCACGGTTAGAGCTTCCTAATAAAATTTGTCACTGACTTTAATCCCATCACTGGCCAGACCCGGTGATTAGCGCCTCTGGTTGTTTTGGTTTTGCTCTGTACCTCCAGCCTCTTCCAAGGAAATCGGTAGAGATACGAGTTCACAGAGGGCTCTTGGCCCTGTAGAAAGAGAACACAGAAGAAGCAAACCAGGACCATGAATAATTCTACAATAATTAGAAACAAAGGGCTTAGTCTCCCTCCTGCCCTCTGGTCCACCCCATTTCAGGCCCACGAGGGACAGAAGCAGGAGAGGGGGATGTCTTCTCTTGTCCGTGCTATGAGCTACAGAGGCTGGCCTCACTTCTGCGCCCTTGACAACTCCCCGTGCCCCCTGCCTTCCTCCTTGGTCTCCTGAGATGGGGAGGGGGTGGTGGACAGGTCTGGGCAGGGGAGAGGAGGCTCTTAGCTCACCTGGAGCTCATGCACCCACACCCCGAAACTGGCTGTGGGATTTCTGGGCCACATTTCCCCTCCCCCCTGCCAAGCCCCGTGGAATGTCTTGGCAGGCTTCTGGGGTTGTATAACTTACCTCCACGCAGCTGCATACTTGATGCACAACTTTGAAGCCCAGAAAGAGAGTGGATGTGGAGAATGCAAAGAGGAAATTCTCTCAGGGGCATGTTCACTCGGCAGATAGACGGGGGGTGCCCCCACCAGACACGTAGACGGTACCTGGTGTGGTGTGTGCGTAGGGGAGGCGTGAGTACATTGAGATATGTCATGTGTCCGGGTGCAAATGCGAACATCCCCGCACTGTGTGTGGGGGGGTGTGTGGGGTGGTATGGACAGGGGCACGCTCTTCCACGAGCTGGCCCTTCTTCCCAGTTCTTGGGGTTCTGCTCTGCCGCTCAGCTGCTAACCTGCCTCCCCTCTCCTTCCCTCTGCGCCATCCTGAGAGTCAGGTGCCCCTCCCAGCTCCTCAAGGTAAACCTGTTCTCTGTAAGTCTGTGTGTTGTCTCAGTTCTGGAGTTTTCCTTTCTCCGCTGTCGGGGCTTCATGCTCTGTCTTTGGACACCTGCCAGGAGGGAGGCAAACACCGGAACGGCAGGGGCGGCAGGTACCTGCCATGCTTGTGTAGACAGAGCCCGTGTGAGACTGGAGGCAGGCGGCCCGGAGGCAGCCAGCCAGCACTCCTCTCAGAACTGCCTGGCTCCCTGAGGTCCTGCTCTCTGCAGCTGGGAGCTGGCACCTTTGTAGTCTCCAGCCGCTGCCCAGGGCAAAGATGCCCGAATCAGCCGCAGGAGCTGTGGGAGGGGGGACAGCTCACCCTGGGGACAGGAAGAGGTCAGCCATGAGAAAGCACCGAGAGCAAGGTGGCTGCCACAGCAGAAATGTATCGTCTCAGTTCTGGAGGCTGGGAGTTCGAGATCGAGGTGTAGGCAGGGTCGGTTCCTTCTGAGGCCTCTCTCCTTGGCTCGTAGGTGTCCCTCTTCTCTCTGTGGCCTCCCCTCTACACATTTCTGTGTACAAATTACCTCTTCTTATAAAGACATCAGCCAAATTGGATTAGGGCCACCTTAATGACCTCATTTTAACTTAATTACCTCTTTAAAGACCCTATTTCCAAATACAGTCACAGTCTGAGCTGGGGTTAGGACTTCAGCATATGAATTTTAGGGACACAGTTCAAGCCATCACGAGGACGACTCTGCCTCCTGTCTGTAGACCCATTTCCTAGCTAGCTTCAGGCTAGAGCCAGGGAGTGCCCCCCAACAGAACCCTAGCTCTTTCTCCTGCATGGGTGATAAGGCCGCTTTCGGTCTGGCGGCTTACAAATTGCAAAGAAAACAGAGTGGTTTGGGGGGGCTATTTTAATAATTTTGGATCAGGAGAAGGTAATGCAATGTAGTGGCACAAGTGACGACTTTTTTCCACGAGACAGTAGTTGTGTGGCCTTGACCAACTTACTTTACATCTCTGAACACGTTTTTAAATCTACACAGTGGGGCTGTTGCAAGGCTTGAGATAATGTGCATGAAACGTTCAGGGCAGTGCCTGGCACTCGGCAGGTGCTCAGAACTCCTTCGCCTCCTTCTTTTAGTTACGGTACTGGTGCTCCCACCATATCCTGTAGGCCGGATAGTATGACAGATGCTGAACCCCAGGAGCTCCCGGCAAATGCCTGCTGGCCGCACAAGGGAGCTGGGACGAGGGATGCGGAGTGCAAGGTGCAGACCCAATTCTGCTGCTTCTGAAAGAACCACACTCAAATGTCATCCCTGCTGATGGAGGGTCAAAGATAAAAACCTCTGTACAGAAATGGTTCTTTTTTCATTGAAAGCAATGCCCAGTCTCAAGGGGAACTTTGAACACCAAATTTGAAAAAATAAACGCTCAAGGGCTGGAAACAAAAAGGAATGGAGTCCCTTTTCCCTAGAGGGGCGGCGGTCAGACTTGAACACGAACCAGAACCACCTGGGAGGCTTGTTAAAACACAGATTGCCGGGCCCCACCCCCAAGGTTTCTGATTCAGGAGACTCCGGGTGGGGCCTGAGAAGTTGCCTTTCTAACAAGTTCTCAGGAGATGCTGATGCTGCCCGTCCAGGGACCACACTTGGAGAAGCACTGATGCACAGTATTAGTCCCGGTTTAGGGTCCGTATCACCTTGTTTTCTCCAGTCTGTTCCGTCTTTGCTGTAGTCCTGGCTACCTGAACGGATTTCTCTGTGCTCGTCCTGGGGGATGCAGGGGGGAGGAGGGCAGGCCTGTCGAAACTTCTCCATCCTCTCCCTGATTTGCACAGTACTTTGCACTTGTTAACAGGCAACTATTTCTTCGGCTTTTATCCCTCTTCCATTTTCTCTTTTTACCCCTCCTTCGTGTTTGGGCCTCCGGGTATTTCACCGTGACTGAGGAGTAGAGCATAAGGATAGAGGCATACAACTCCCTCGCTGCAGCCCGTGCCGACCCCGGGGAGGAGAGGGCAGATGCAAAAACAGCATCTCTCCCATCACCATCCTCATCTCCTTTACCCCATGTGCCTCTACCCCAACACATCAGTTCCCTGGCCCCAATTCCCTAATCACTTCGCCAGAGTAAATAATTGCTGGCACGTGGTGACCCAGGGTCATAGCCAATGGAGGAAGGTAATTAGGGCCTTCACTTCTGACCATTTTGGGAGAAGTCTTCCAGCTGATACTTGTGTCTCTGATCCCTCGTGCCGATGTTCATGTCCTCCCTCAGGCTCCCCTTCGGAGACCGGAGAGCTTGGGCTGGAATAGAATTGCTCGTGAGCAGAGTCTTTCCCCACAGAAGGGAGAGGGCAGACCGTCCTGTGCCAGGGAGCCAGCAGCATGGTCCTCACACCTTTCATGCCACCCATCATAGTGTGTGAGTGCTCTCTCATGACTCTTTCCAGGACGGATCTGAGACTAGAGACTTGGCCCGTGCCCTATCTTTCCGGATGGCCCAGCACCATGTGGACACCCTTGTTGTTTTCAGTGTTCCAGCATCTTCTTTTTTTACCCGTATGCCTTTGGAGTCCTGCCGATGTGTGCTTGGGAGAGGTGGGCATGCTCCTGGCTTCCTGGGCTGGGAAGGCCTGAGGAGCTTGAAATGTGGTGGGTGGGCTGCGGCAGTGAGAGGCAGAAGCCTGGCCTTTTATTCCTGCCTCTTCCATCTCTGGCTGCTGGCGCCAGGATGCCTTGCTGGGGCAGAGGATGACAGATAACTGCATTCCAGGTTCTTCTGGAAACGTTCCCCCTCAGTCAAAGCAGGGGAGGAAAACATCTTCTTGACTTTACTCTAACTCCCCAAGCTCAGCCAAGACTTGAGACAAAAATAAACCTGTGACTACTCCAAGAGAAAAGGCCAAGAATCTCGTGTGTGTCCTTCCAGCATGCCTTTTGGGGTTGGGGAAGGGGCTGTTGAGGAAGGAAGTGGGCAGTAAGTGATGTCAAATTTCGGTGTATGGGGCTTTGAGCCCCATTTCAGAAGAAGGTCTATACTAAGCCTGAGAGAAACAGGAGGTTTCTTGATTTAAGAAAAGGAGGCTCATGGACTGTCATCTCAAGGAAGGTCATTGCTATAAGAAACTTGCACAGCCCCGCATCGCACCCCTGTGCGTGGGTGCAGATCTCAGCCTGGTATGCGTGGTTGGTTCTAGGCCACTGACGCAGCTGAAGAGTGTGAGCTCGTTCTCACTCTGTCTTAAAGGGCCTGGCCACTTCCCTTCCTGGAGTCCCCCTGGGTCCAGGAACCACGCCTGTCCCCTCCTTCTTCTCTTAGGTTGTGCCCTTGACTGCTTACCCCACTATTCTCCCCCCACATGGTGCATCAGGCACAGCGAACAACAAAATATAAGCCTCCCCTCCCCCCTGCAAAAAAAAAAGTTTTTTTTTTTTGCTGCAGGTCAGTGCAAGAGAGTCCTCTTTAAAATTTTGATTTGGGAATAGGCTTCAAGGTTGCTTAATATTTGTTCTATACCTGTGTATTGCCATGTATTATAAATTTCCCCAACTGTCTAAGGGCTGGAACTGTCTGTCCTTACAGATTCTCCTCCACAAACACATCAGCTGCTCAGCACATCAGTTATTGTTGGGGGAATGTGATGCTGACCAGCTCCCTTCCCGTGGTGACCCCAAGAAACCTCACGGCAGGGGCGCAGTGAAAAGGGAGCCCAAAGCGCCACCTCAGCCAGAAGCACCTAGAGGTGGAATCAAGCTGCCCCACCCCCCACCCCGCACCCTGCTGTTCACCTCACCAGGTGAGGACTTCCAGATCAGCATGGGTGGGCCTCGGCTATGAAGGGTGAGCCCTGACTCCACCTTGCCTTTCTTACCCAAGGTCTCCTGGAGGTCTGGTCAACTGCCATTTAAAAATAAAGGGGGTGGGTGTTGGTGAGCCGGGACCTACCCTGAGTTAGCAACGAAGACAACCCATACCTCGAGTGTGGGGAGACAGAAGAGAACGTAGCCTGGGAATCTTCAGGCTTGAGTCATCTCATCTTTGAGACCTCCAAGCCTTGGGCGGTAGAGTGCTCAAAGACTGGGTTCCTGTCTGGCTCCCTGAGCCATGAAGTGAGAGGCCGAGGATCCGACTTGCCCGCCTGGGCCGCTCTGGTTTTCCAACTTGCCCAGAGTTAGCTCCAGGCCAGAGTGGAACAGCACCCTAACTCAGGAACATGCAGAGATTATTCTGGAATTTCAGAGAGAGGGATGAGAGGCTTTCTGTGGAGGTTATGAGTCCAAGCGGACAGCACGTCTGCTCATTGGCCATTGGCTCTAGGGCAGGCTGAGCAGTTTCCTCCAGCTCCAAGGGGGCTGCACTGAGGGGAGGGCCATCCTTTCTGGTCCCTCAATTATCTCTGGTCCCTACAGCCACCCTGTGGGGAGCAACTCTCCTCAGTGGCCAAGTGATGGAAGAGTTGGCGGGGGGAGTGAAGTGAGCATGATCACTTGCTGCTGATAGAACAGTAATGAAATTAATGGGCAGTTAGAGCTGCCCCATTAACAGTGGAGTTGGTGTGTCAGAGGCACTTAGGGCATCAGTCCTCCAGATGTCATCCCGGGATAGACATAGAGCTGCTTAGTTGTCCTACCTACCTTTGTGGGAAGACCTACCTGCTCCCCAGAAGGCGCACTCCCTTCCCTTTGGAAACCTGGTGCGCACCCCTCACTGGGGAGACGTGGAAGGTCAGGGTTTTGCTAGGGTTGTTTCTGAGGCCGGTGAGAGCTACACGACATAGAAGCATTATATAGAAGCATTACCTAGCTGCTCTGAGCGCCAGAGAGAACCACAGCCACCCGGACCTGCATTCCAGCCCCATCTCTCTTAGTAACTTACTGTGTGAGCCTGATCTACTTACACAGCCTCTGTGGATGCCAGTTTGTTTGTCTGTAATGTGGAGGGATCCTATGGAACAGTCATCTTCCTTCCTGGAGGAGGGAAGGGATTCAAGATGAAAAACAGGAGTGGGTGTCCAGGAAAGAAATGGACAACGTGACTGAGAAGCATTTCATCCGGTGTCCTTAATCTGGAGTCATTGGCCTGGGGCCCCCCTCTGGGCTTTTGGAAGTTGATTAACTCTATGAAGTTGTCCATAAAAAAAAATGGATGAGTGAGCATTTTCCAGAATTTTTTAGAAGATTCCGAGCGAGGTCTTGGCCCTTACAAAGTGAACCCCCACTGGCAGCTTTGCGTGGGAGCAGCCTGGACTTCAGCCACTAGATTGGGGAGGACAGGCCTCCCCTTAGAGGCAGCACCCCCCTCAGCAAATTTGGCCTCTTGTACAGCAGATGGAGAGAGCCTTGCTTCTGGTTCTGGGTGAAGCTCTTAGGGTAAGATGGAGAGGCGTGACAAGTGGAGGTAGTCACTTGTGACAGGGGACTCAGAGAAGGACAGATTTCCACATGAGGTGCATTGGCCTTCTCACCCGTTGGTAGGAGCAGCGCTGGGGCCATGAGACCAGCATGTGCCCCTTAATATCCCTGGGCGCTGGTTTCCCTGAAATGGATCAACTGTGGTGAGAAACATTGATCAGGCAGGAGTTTTGGGGAGATGGCCCCTCCTAGCTTCTGAACCTGTCAACAATTCTTGGCTGGCTGGACTTTGCATTGTCCTTATTTGTGGGTGTTCCAGGTGCAAAGTCAAACATTGTCAGGGACCAAGTTGCCAGGTTACCTAAGACCCGCAGTGTCAAACCATATGGCTCTGAATAAGGGGCCAGATGCCTGGGAAACTATGGAGAAGGAGAACAGTCAACTATGCAATGTAGGAATGAGGTAGAGAGCCCTAGGCACAAGCCCAAATGAAGTGACAAGGTCAAGCTTATGCCTAACCAAGTATCTGTCTATCCAGCAGCTGATTTTTCACTTTGCTGGAGGAAAAGGATTTGAGAAGGGTTGACCTCTGATCATAAGCCAGGGGTTTGCCACCAATTCAATTCAGTTCAAAGCAATTCAATGAATAAACCAAATATTTGTGAATTACCTGTTATGTCTTCAGTACCTTACCAGGTACTATAAGAAACAAAAGGCACGATCTCTGCTCTGATGAGCTCATCAGTTCGCTGAGGAGAATAAACATTTATAGAAGGAATAGCTGGAGAGAACCATGGCTGGGCTATGTACAAATGTGCATCAAGAATTCAGCGTGTGGGGCGCCTGGGTGGCTCAGTTGGTTAAGCGACTGCCTTCGGCTCAGGTCATGATCCTGGAGTCCCGGGATCGAGTCCCGCATCGGGCTCCCCGCT